ACAAACGTTCGAGATGGGGTTTCGTTGGGCCAGGAAACGTTCGAGACGGGGGAGGGAGTTCCCTTCATTTTTAAACATGAGGGTACTATGGTAAATTGGCTTGGGGAGAGGTTCAAAATTAAGTAGAGGTGGGGTTAAAAATTAGGTTTTTTTAAAAGGGGTTCATTTATCCAATTTGAACTATTAGTGGGGTCAAAAACCCCAATTTCCCTGTTTTCTTCTTCTTTTTCTTTTTGGATTTTACGAAATGAAAAATAGTTTCAAATTCCTAATGGTTACTGGAATTGAATTTCAAATCATTAAAATTACAATTTAATATAATATTTTAATAATAAATTGTAATGTTATTTGCCACATCCAAGTAGCACAACGGTGACATACAGGAAAAGAAAAAAAAAGGGCCTGCCAGAGATTTTTCTTAAAATAAAATAAAAAATCACCCTCCATTGTAGCATGTCATCTCGTGGCTGAAGTCAGTCAAATCTACCCACATATTTTTACGGTACAAGATATATGGGCGGAGAATTAAATTTACAATTTCTTAATTGAAAATATATGTCAATTACCGTTGAAATATGTCGTTTTGACATACATGTAGTCTATTTAAATAACTATTTGCATGGAAGAAATTGTGCTAGTTTATATGGGATCTAAGCTAGAGTGACTGTGCTAGAATCAAACCCTTTCAAATTGTATTCTTTTTAATCAAAACTCAACCCTAATTTCAAATGATGTTTTTTTCTTTAATAAATGCCATGATTTCAAATCCAAATCCTTTCGAATCCAACGTTCCAAATCCTTTCGAATCCAACGTTCTTTCTAACCACTTTTTTTCCTTTTCCATTAAAAAGGAAACTTCGTATTTTATGCTTTATATGCATTAAAGAAAAAGTAATGGAGGTGAAGAAATACGGTGGTTGTGAGTTGGACAACAAGCACAATTTATTTTTTTAGTACGATATGATATGTGGTTGGAGATTCGAACTTACAATCTTTAGATTGAAGATAGGTATATTAACCAGTTGACCAAGTCAATTCTGTTCCACTTAATCCCTATTTTATGACCACATATTTTTCCGGGTAAGGAGTGGAAAACTTTTCTCTTTGATACATGAATAATCCAATATTCATTTCGGAAAAGCCATATTTTTCTCAACAATGTCTTTGTCATTTGATCCAATAGCGTTCCATTAGATAGGAACAGATTTTATAAATACTGATAACTCTGGGATGGAGTACTAGAACGGAAAAAATCCATCAGATAATGAACTATTGGTTGTAAGTCATCTCTGGCGATGAATCAACAATCCGAAGTGTTTTTATTGCATATTATTGATAAGCCAATGTTTATATATAGATGTAGGAAGATCTGCTTAGGAAGGAAGCAAACAATTTGACATCTTTTCATTGACAAAGAATTCTCAATGTGAAAACAAAGAGACAAAAAGTTGATCTTTGAATAGGAAAAATAGTAAATCTTGAGTCATACCCCAGTTAGCAACATGTGCATCCTGTTTAGTTAAGATAAATTTCAACTTTTAGTTTGTCAAGTTTAATTTCAACAAATTTAATATTAGATTGTCACAACTTTTACCTTTTATTCCACTGTTATCTCATTCACTCATCAATTTAAAAAAAAAAAGATACTTAAAAGATATGTTAAAACATGATCCGAAGAGGTTGGTTGAATTGGGTGGTTGGAACAAAACCCAATAGGTTGAAAATAGGGGTTGAAAGGCGAATTCTTGACTTAAATAGCTGAATCAAAGATGATTTGCACAAAGGAAGAGTGAGCTCCGACGTGGTGCCAACATAACACACTTCGATACTTAAGTCACGTGAAATAGAGATACTAACTCAATTTTATGATATTGAGAGGAAGTGAATTGTGTAACTATTGATGGGTGACCTGTGTATTTTTAGGGTCCTTTGGCTCACGTATGACATCATGGTTCATCTGCAAGTGGACAAAAAGGACTACAGTGTGCTGCATAGGTGGTGACGCACAAGTCAATGCCTATGCTTTGACGGGAAAATTTCCTATCCCATCGTAGTATAGAAATTTTTCCTACTCCCTCCATTTAAAGCTTGACATGTGTTTATTATTATACAAATAAAAATGGTAAATTTTCTTATCCTCCCATGGTATAGAACTTTTCCTACTCCCTCTGTTTAGACTGTGCCATGTCTATATTATTATGCAAATAAAAATTATATATTCTTTGAGTATGGTCCACGTACTTATAACTAAATTATTGTATAAGACTATACTTTCTCTTTCATCATTATCTCTCTTATTGATTATTATATTGTATCTAGGTTCTAATCTCTTCCTCTGCTTCATTTACCCAACCAAATCTTCTCTTTCATTTTTATCCATCATCCAAACTTGAACTTGAAGCTCCCTCCCCCTTGCCGCCGTACCATCTCCTCCCACCCTACCTCCCGCTGCATTTGTCACCGTCCCGCCGCCGCCCGTTTTTGAAGTGGGTAAGTTTCAGAGTGATGTCTCTGGGTTCTCTCTGCCTTTTTTTCTTCTTTTTTCGTCCTCTCTCTCGCGTCTACTTCTTTTATGTGTCTCCTCATCTGATTGCTCTCACCATCCTGACAACCTTTTATTCCAGGGAGGAAGAATGGATATCCAAACCAATCCCATTGACAACTTTTTCTTTCTCTGGCCCTCTCTCTTTTGCGTGGTCTTAAGAAAAAAAAGAAGCATATAAGAAAACCCCATTAATAGCTACAACCTGACAATCCGACCCAACCCGAATTTTTTAGGTTGGGTTGGCCATCAATTCGGGTTGGGTTGAGTTGTAAATATGGTCAATCCAAAAATTCGGGTTGGTCTCAAAAAACCCCTAACCCGATCCAACCCAACTCGTGAACATCCCTATCCCAAGATAGAGCTTTTATATTATTATTATTTTTTTCTTTTTTCTTTCATTTCTTCATCTTCTGTCTCTTCATTTAAATATTTTTACAACTCCACTTTTATTTCTTAGATTTTCATCCATTTAAACTAAATCTATTTGTTTTTTTATTTGTTGAAATAATATTTACAGTTTGAAGTACGTAGGATGAGAGTAGGATCAATCTATGTATTTTATTTTTTTCCCTATTTTTCTTTGTTTTTCTATTCATTTCTAACCATTTTATTTATTTCTCTTTTTATTTTAATGCATATAAAAGTAGTTGGATCTATCGCAAATCTCTAAGTATATTAGGTTTAATTCTTTGCCTTAAATTTTTTTTTAATAGAAGAAAATCTACGCTTGAGAAAAATGGACTTGTAACAATATTCAAATGAAAATATATGTTTACGTAGCATGCTTACTTATCCTACCCTATTAACGAAACAAGTCGAAGTGAGCATAGTTCAGCGGTGATTGGCATATACCTCCAACCATTACATTGCAAGTTCGTTCCCTCATCCCTACCTATTGTATATAAAAAAAAAAGACAAATATAACAGCTTTGAAAAATTTTTGTTTGATGGAATGACTTAATTGATACTTATTTAAAAGATTAATGACATTTTATATACTTTGCATTTTTTAAAAAAATGTTTGGTTTTCGTAATATTTTACCAAATATTTTCCAAAACTACCTTTAATCCTAAAAAAAAAATACACCCAGATTCCGAAACATTAATTTCCATCAATATTATTTAGACCACAAGTATTTACATGTCTCGACATTTCTTCAAAAGAAAAAAAAAACCTAACCAATGATATTATATATGAGTAAAAAGTTAGAAATTTGAATCCCCACCCCACATATTATTTAATTAAAAAAACATAAATATTTATATAATTGTCACTTTGATATAGGTCTCGAGTTCAATCCATTGTTTCAGCATTGTTGTAATTTTTCCTATTTTTTTTACCTGTTTTTCTTTCTCTTGTCGGTAACTAAATCAAATTGTTTAAATAAAGTTTTAATTTATTTAGATATTTCATATTATCTCCTGGGTTATATAAATACATAATATGAAGCAATAAAAGAATTATTGGAATTATTTTATATTTTAAAGTAAATTATCTTTTAAAAAGTAATTATACATTTAGATATTTTATATGTAAATTATAATTTCAATTATTATCTATTTAGAGTTCCATATTTTCCCTCTCAAACTATACAAATAAATAATATGATAGAACGAATTGTTTTTAGACATTTTTGCTCCAAAACTCTTCAATGGACAAATTTAATAATATTATCAATGTCATGCTTCATCTAATTTATATATACATTTGAAATTAATTTAAGACCTCAACATATTAATTTATTTTATTAATAAAAATGTATTAAAATAAAAATAAAAAATAATTATATAAAAGCAATTTTGATAGTTACATTAATGAGCCAAGAACATTAATTTCCAATTGAGTCAAAACAAAAATATTTGAAAATAGTTTTTAAAACTATAATAATTAAAAAAATAGTTAGTTCAATTGGTTGACAAATAGTGCAACATCGTATGTTACTCCCATATATTATACTAAAAAAAGGAAAAAACTATTTTTGAAATATGTTTAAACAATAATAACGTTTTAAAAAATAAATCTCGTAAATACATTAAAATTGTTTCAATTATTTAAATAAGTGTATTTAGTAACACTTTTGTTTAAAATACAGACAAAAATACTAAATATATAAAAAATGAATGAATTATTTGAATTATTAAACGATGCAAATATTACTTTTTTCCTAAAATATGTGCTATTTAAATATTTTTATAGATATTTGATTAATATTTTACTACAAAGTAAGTTAAAACTTGTAGTAAAAAAAGGTGAAAAAAAAGGTTAAAACTATCAATATCTGGCGAAAAGCTGGGCAAATTTAAACAAGTAATGACAATTAAAATGAAATCAGAGCATGGATATAAAAAGAAAAAAAAAAATCAGAGCATGGGTACAAATTCGTAATTTTTCCATTCAAAAGGAACGTGCCAAAATCCGAACGTTGTAGCTCAAATCAAATATACGAGCGCCAAAAAGAAGCACCCAATTGTAAGTTCTAACTCTCTCTCTCTCCAAATTTCCAATCTCTCTCTCTGGCTGTGGTACCCTTGCTCCGGTCCCTTCTGCCTCAGTTCTCGCCGCCGGTCCCCGCCGCCTCACCTTACGCCGCCGGTGCACCCCTCTGCCTCACACCGCCCCTGAAGCGGCTCGAGCAAGAAAGCAAGGTTCCTCGAGGTCAGTCCCTTTTCTCGTATAAGAACTGATCAAATTTGAAATTGTCAGTCTGATTATTTTGGGCTGTGAACCAAATTCGTTATCGAAGTCCTTCTCTCTCTCTAGATCTTTGGCTGTGGAACATCCTTGCTCCATGGATTGTAATCTGAGGTTAAGTTTAGATTGACAAATGATCTTCGATTTAGTTGCTTTGAGTTGATTTTCGAAATTTCTGTGAAATAAGAGGAAATCAGAACAAATTTTCTGCAATTCTCAGTTGCATTCGGGCATCTCACCTGCCACTGTTCTCCCCCATCAATTTCAGCATTTAGTTCCTGACTCACCGTTTCAGTGGGTAGTTCTTTTAATCTCGCCCCCTCTTTTGCCATTAATTACTTGAATTTGTTAATATCGATTTCCCTTAGTGTAGATCACCTCCAGCGCTCTCTCGTCACTTGCTGAGTTGCTCCTCGGAAGAGTTTTCATCCACTGCTCCGTTCCAACCCTCTTTCACTAATCCCGTCTAAACTCATCGGGATCCCATTTCGTTATGGGTTTATATTTTGCGGGTTTCTATAATGTTTAGGATTTATAACTTTGATGTAGTAGGGGAACCCTTAAATTAATGGTTTTATATATTTGGTGTTTTTGGAACATCTTTTTGTTCCACATCGACTGCATATCTGACGAACGGTTACTGTCCTAATATCAATTAATAATTTACTATATTTTGTGAGTTAGTTGTACCTCATGATACGAATTGTCTGTCTCTACCTCGAGTCATACAAAAGTGAACCAGTTCTGCAATTGCCAAATTGATTAGTGTTGTACTAGAAAATGAAATTGATCTCATGAAGTACTACTTATATACCCATTTTCAATGTTTAAATATATCTTTCATTCTTACTATTTTTGTTTATTGTTGCTGCAGTGATATATTTTTTCCATTCACAGAATGGGTGTTGAAAATTACCATGTAATCGAGCTTGTTGGGGAAGGCTCTTTTGGTAAAGTGTATAAGGGGAGGCGGAAGTACACAGGCCAGGTGAATATTAATTGTTTAAACGTATTTTTCTTTAATCGTTACAATAACTCACTTAAGTTGTTTACGCTCTTCTCAGACTGTCGCGATGAAATTCATTATGAAGCATGGAAAAAGCGAGAAAGACATTCAAAATTTAAGGCAGGAGATTGAGGTACCTGCTAATTTTCTTGGTATTCCTAAATGAAAGCGTAACTTAAATGTGTGATATTTTTAGATTAATATGTAAAAGTAATAAATAAAAAATTGCCTTTCAAAACAGTTTCTAAACTTAAGAATAACATAGAGATGTTATGAAATGTTATGCTCTCATGTTTGTTTGTCTTTTCACAGTTAAAGACCTTGTCCTCACACTAGGTCACTTGGCTTTAATAATTGTTTTATTCCCTTTCGTGTATGTCTTACTTGTTTCGTTCCTGCTGCTATGATGCTGATTGCTGAATCACCTTATGGAATAACGTTCCTTTGTAGAGGCTATATTAATTGCATCTTCTGTTCTGTATTCCCAATTTGATCGTAGGGAGGAAGTATTTCATAGTAAGTAAAATTATTTCTTCAGTCTCAGTGGTTGTAACATTTGGTCATAGTTGTACCCGTAGAAGGGAAGTTAAGCTGCTAACTTAAGAGAAGGAAGTTAAGGTGCTAGACATGCTACTATTTTATACTTTATAGCTCAAAAGAAGGAAGTTAAGATACTAGACATACTACTATTTTCTTTATGAATAGTTTTACTGCTTCGAGGAAATCGTGTACAACCAATGAAGAATGGCCATTATTTATTAAGATTAGTCCCTTTTTCTCTTTCCCTCCATTCTACTAAGGTATCTCATAATGTTGCAGATACTAAGAAAGCTGAAGCATGAAAATATCATTGAAATGCTCGACTCATTTGAAAGCCCGCAGGAATTTTGTGTTGTTACAGAATTTGCACAAGTAATTCATCTTCTTATATTGATCAAACATTTCCATATTCAAAGCATACATTTTTGTGAAGTTTTGTTGGGTTGCAGAACTTTCTGTTGGACCAACACAAAACCCATTTTATTGTACTTAAATTCCCCAAGATTACATTAAAAAGTCATAAAAAGACCCAGTTTAGTTGAGTGACATGCATCTCTTGACAGAAAGTCAAAAAGTAACGTGCAAAACTTTACTAAGCACGTTATATAACCTAGCTTATGCAAGGTTCACGTATGTGAATATTTCTGATTGACAGGGCGAACTCTTTGAGATCCTTGAGGATGATAAATGCCTTCCTGAAGAGCAAGTTCAAGCAATTGCAAAACAGTTGGTAATTCATGAACTTAACATTAATTAGGCTACCAAGCTTTATAGGATCGTTCATTTATATGAACTGTGAATATTCTCTTAACCTGGTTAGAACAATAACTTTCAGGTAAGAGCACTGCACTACTTGCATTCCAACCGTATCATCCATCGTGACATGAAGCCGCAAAACATCCTTATCGGAGCTGGATCTGTTGTGAAGGTTTGCCCTCATCACATGCTTAATCACCATGTTTGTTACTTTATAAAAATAACTTCTCAAGTGTTCTATCTTCTATTGGTTCAAGTTGTTTCCTACAATAATTTTATCAATACATAGCTTCTTATTTTGTACAATGTTGTCACTAGTAGTCATTAGTCACTTACCAAGTTACCACAAACACATGTTAGGTTAGAGAGAAATCACTGGTCCTTTGAGGATGTTTCTTCTGATTTAACTAATTTTTGGAGTATTTTACAGTTCACAACTTCTAGGTGGTGCTACACTTATAGCAAATTATTTTGCAATTACTCCCTCATTTTGATCTTTCGGATGTCTCTCTTGAGTTAGTCCTTCTGGAGGGGGTTCCTTCTCCCCCCGCCCTTAGTTTGTAATCCCAGTTACCACAACCATTTTCACTAAATCACTTAACCAGCCAATGCTAAAACCAGGTTGAATTAACATTGCTTCTTGTAAGAATTTGTCGAATTGGAGATATTTCTTTCACTATCTCCCATCCTGGTTTCTTATTTAAAAAACTGTCCGACATCTTTTTATCTGATGTGGTAATTTAAGGGATAAAAGATAAAACTTTAGAGAAAGATTACAGATTCATGATTTCTTAATAAATGAGTAGCAAATTAAGCAAATTCTATATTGATCTGTTTCGAGGATAGCTAGCCATATGTTAGTATTTACAGTATACTCTTTGGAGTTTATAATGAATTTCCATTGTCCACTTTCTTTGTACCAGAATCTAAATCTCATCTGTATTTGCTTTTCATTGTTCAAGAGTAATATTTTGGAAGCTAATGGCTTGTTTAGTTCATGACTAAAATTCTTTTTTAAAGACATGGGTGTTAGGATGACAAAAATGTATCCAAAATGTAAAATTTAGAGAAGTTTTTATTATAGTTTCCTAAAATTGTCTTCAAAACATAAATCTTGTGAAAAAGCTTTTGATATTTAAATAATAAATTTTTATTTAATTGAAATGGAACTTTATTTTTAGAATAGTTTGTAGACAATGAAATGCGAAAAGAATCGGGAAACAAAATACCAATGCACATGATTCAGTATCTTTTAACTTATTGAAATTGTAAATGAATTGAAATAGCTTCTAGAAATTTTTGAATTTTTTTGCTATCGAAAGCATCATCTTGGTATTTCTTGTTTTTATTTCTATAAAGGATTAACAATTTGTGAATCAAATACTAAATAGACTACAAGGTTCCAAGTAATATTCAACTTTGATTCTAGTAATTTGGCATCAGCTTCATAATGCTTGCCCATTTTTTCATAGTTTTTAATTGACTTAAACATTTTTACTGATATAATACTCCTCTTTTTATGCTTTATTTATCTCAGCTCTGTGATTTTGGGTTTGCTCGAGCAATGTCAACAAACACTGTTGTTTTGCGGTCAATTAAAGGTAAGTTGTTTCAATTGTTTGCAGTATTCTCTATATGGTTATCATGAATAGAAAAGGAAAACTTGCATTTGGTCGTCAGGAATAGAAAAAGATTCAAATAAGGAATTGAAAAGGTAAATTTGCATTCAGTTGTCCAATACAGGCATCTCTCATTTTCCTCGCTTTAGAGAGAAACTTTTACTGTATGCTCTATCATTTGATTTTCATAATGCACAGTTAGAGTTACTTTCCTGGTAAACTTTATTGTAAGTATCAAATGATTTTGAGCAATAATTTACTTCACATTTATATGCTTTTGTTGCATTATAAAAATTACTGCATGCTCTATCATATGATTTTCCTAATGGGCAGTTAGAGTTACTTTCCTTGTAAACTTTCTTATAAATATCAAATGATTTTGAACTATAATTTACTTCACATTCATATGTTTTTGTTGCATTGGAAAAATGTAAAGATCCTTTGATAACTATATGATGTATTTCAACTTGGCTTTCCAGTTATCACTAAACCAAACTATTATACAGTCGTTTCAACAGTAACTGCCTCAATATTTACTTGTTTATTAATACTATATTAACTTTATTCAGGCACGCCTTTGTACATGGCTCCAGAACTGGTTCGTGAACAACCCTATAATCACACTGCAGACTTGTGGTCATTAGGAGTGATACTGTACGTGGATTCTTGTTGTCTTGAATTTATTATTATCTTCTACTAAGAATTTATGAATATTTTTATCCTTTCGAGTTTGTATCTTTGAACATTTATGTTCCTTTTCATTTATCAATGAAAATTTCGTTTCTTGTTAAAAAAAAAAAGTCCCTGTGACCACTCTAAGTCATTCTATCTGGGGTCTAAGATTTTGGTTTTCTTCTTTAATTTTCATCCACATGCTATTATTCCATTGAATTGACAATTGGGGCTATGTTTATATTGCAATGTTCTCACCTCATTTGTATTAATAGATTCTCTATTTTGCATGATTCATGTCTTTAAGAGATTAATTGTGGCAAACAAGGTAGAGTCACATATATATTTGAGTTTCATTGGTAATAATGAAATCCTCATACATGGTTGGCTGCTTCTTCTTCTTTCTTTCTTTTTTTTTTTTTTAAATACCACAATCAGTATATGCAGCTCAAGAATAATTCACCGACTGTATTTTATAACAAAACCATATACAACAGAGAAAAATTCGTCTTTGTTTTCTACTCCGGGAAATTCTCTAACTTTATTCAGTATATTGGATCGCACCTTCAAAGGATAGAAGTATCCAATTTCAAGTTTCAGCGCTGATTTTGTTGATGCTTAATACTTATGCAGTGTTTATGTATGCTTGTGTACTAATGCCTAGCCTTGGATTACTGGGACTTGACAGTTGACTGTTATTGTCCCTTGAAAAACCCTAATTAAATTTTGTTCTAGAGGATGGAGCTGAATGCTGTTACGGAAACAACTTTACTGCTGAAAACCTTGCTTTTTAAACTTGTTAACATCTGGAGGCTGTTGTTTGTTTCAAAGGTTGCATGTAAATATCATGTTAGGACTAGCTATTCGTGATTAGATGATATTTGTATTTATCTTTGCATGTGATTTTTTGTGAGAAACATACCATAAATTGATTAATTAATTGCAGACATGAAACATACAATAATTAATTTGAAGATAAAAGTTCAATTGGTAGAGAACCTACAACCAATGGTAGAAAACCTTAGTACAAACACCCTCTTAAGAGATATCTCATACCTTAGTTGTGCCCTTCTTCTGTGTTTTTCTTCGTTGCCTCTGCATCTTTTTAAATTCAGAAAATGTTAACTGAAACAGGTATGAGTTGTTTGTTGGCCAACCTCCATTTTACACTAACTCTGTTTATGCACTGATTCGGCACATTGTAAAGGTATTTTATGTCACAAGTTACTATTTCATATTTCATGTTTTTTTGCAATAATTTTGAAGTGGAAGCTAATTTTACATCCAACAAGCCAGGATCCAGTTAAATATCCCGACAACATGAGTTCAAGTTTCAAGAGCTTTTTGAAAGGATTGCTCAACAAGGTTATTCTGAAGTTGAAATGTTTGATTCTATTGACTAGTTTTCAAATTGTATTGGTAACTTCACATTTTTTACTTAGTCTCGCTTAAATTGGAATAGGTACCTCAAAATCGACTCACATGGCCTGCTCTTCTAGAACACCATTTTGTAAAAGAAACTTCAGACGAGCTGGAAATGAGGGTAATGGATTTGATGTCGTTTGTGATAATTTGGTTATATATATGATTTGGAAAGTAGGGTATTGTAATCCCTTTGATTCAAGATTTTCAAAGATCTAAGAGTGTATTCATTGTTCTCCAAGTTGTTTCTTGTTCCAAAAAGAAAACAAAATTGTGTAGCCCCCAAGAGTAGCCCAGTTGGCAAGAGCTTGGGGTCTCTTGGGCATACCGTATTGGAGGTCTCAAGTTCGAATCTTCGGGTGAGTTTAATACCAAAAATCCTTGATATCTTCTAGGTCCAGGTCTTGGGGCGGGTGCGGGTGCCCTTGGGTATAGGGAATAAAGCTTCGACTCCCCGTTATAAAAGAAAAAAAATTGTGTTGAGTAACATCTTACCACCATGCTGTAGTCCTTGACTTATGTATAATGAGATAGGTTTATGTGTAAAATCTTTAATTTGATCCTTAGAAGTTGAAATTATTGTAGCTATAACATTTCATCCTAAAAAATGTTTCCAGGAGTTACATGCTACATCTGCTGCAACCACCAGGGGGTGCAATCCTACTTGGAGAGGAGAAGGAAATGCTGGTTTTGCTTCAGCCATTTCTAGTCCAGGGGGTAAGGTTCAAAATTCAAATATATATTTATTAGATTCAACATTTATCATTTACCATTGAAATTTGACCATTCATCTTACAATTGATGCTTCAGCTGGTTTCCAAGACAAGAGCACTGCACATCCTAATGCCAATGCTCAACTTAACCGTCCAAACCCATTGACGGAAAATAATAATTCCTTGCTTGAGGAGTTCCAAGGGTTTGTTAGTTCCAATGATGTTAAACAGTCAGGTATGAAGCAACTTGTTGTTTAGTGGCTATTCATTTCAATTCTCTTATTTTTGGCTGTTATTGTTCTCCACATTCCACCAGAAACCTCCAGCCCCATTTGTTTAAGAGAGCATTGTTTTTTGCATCCAAACTTCCCAAACCCGCTCCTCCCAAGCTTGTAGGTAAGGCAGCCACCTCCCAATTAATTGGATTTAGGCCTCCTTCATCCTTTTCAAAAGAAATCCCTGACTATCCTTTCATGCCTTTTGATGATCTGTTTGGGCATTTGAATATAGAGAGAAAGCCAGAGCGATACTTGAGAGATGAACTGGCTAGTGTTAATCTTCCTCCTCTAGAAAGAAGGTTTGCTTTCCACCTTGCTAGTTTCTTTGCTACTTTCTCTTCAATTGGTTCCCAGAAAGTCAGCTTGTTATCTCCCACAGGCATTCCCAGATACATTAAACGCCAAGAACCTACTTTACAGTCCCATAAGGACGTCGTAGACAACAACTAGAGATTTTGTCAAATTGATCTTCAGGACTGAAATCACCTCAAAATAGCACACCATCTCCTTTAAGTTATACCACCTTCCCATTGTTGATTGAGAATATCAAGGTGTCATCAGCGAATTGAAGATGACTCACCTGCAATCCATTTACCCCCATTTTAAACCTTCCAAACAGCCTTTACTAGTTCCTTTTTCTAGCATACTACTCAGCAAATGAGCCACTAAAGCAAATAGAAAAGGGGCTAAAGGATTACCTTGCTTCAAACCTCTTTGAGCTTTAAATGTTCCCCTTGATCTTCCACTGATCGAAATAGAGGACGAGGTATTGAATATGCAGCCTTTTATCCAAGATATCCATTTCCTCCCAAAGCCCTTTTTGTGAAGGATTTCAAGTAAGAAGTCCCAATCCACCATGCTATAGGCTTTTTCAGAGTCAAGTCAAGCTTAAAGATCTAACATTTTTTCGTCTTTACTTTGTACTTATCAACAAGCTCATTTGCAATTAGGATAGGGTTCAATATTTGTCTACCTTATACAAAAGCAACTTGGTTTTGGCTGACCGTCCACTTCATCGAGCAAGAACTTTTTCCACCACCTTATATAAGCTTGTGACTAAGCTAATGGGCTCATAATCAGAAACCTTTGTAGCCCTTAGTTTCTTTGGAATTAAACACAGATACGTTTTGTTAACTCATGAGTTCAGAATGCCTTTCACAAAACAGTTATGGAACACCTCAATCACATATGCTTTAATGATGTTCTCGGTTTTTCTTTTTTTTTTTTTTTCAGAAACTCCCCTTTGAAACCATCCAGTCTAGGCACTCTACTTTCCCCCAAATCATCTATTGCTGTACTTTCCCCGAAACAACTTATCTTAGAACACAATGTCGCCTTTCTCAAAGAGACTAACTCCATCATTGTTTTGGATTTAAGTAATTAGGTTCTTCTTTGTTCTCGCATTAACATAACTGTGGAAGAAACTGGAATTAATATCTCCCTCAACCAGCCATCGTGCTTTGCATTTTTGTCTCCACTTTTTGTCTTTTCTCAAGATCATATCCCCAAACTGAGCCTTTAAAAGTGATCATCTAAGAACCTCTTCGTCAAGTAAACCCTGGGATTGTTCCCAGCAATCCAAATTACAAATTTCATTTGTTAACTTCTCTTTTTGCTTCTTAATCTGGCAAACGATGTATTGTTCTATCCTTCAGCTTTGATTTCATTAGTTTTAGTTTTTGAATGAATACAAAACGTGGCCACCCACAATTGAATTTCATTCCAACAACGACTGAAGTCCTTTAGGAAGAGACCATGATCTAGCCACATATTGTTGAATAGCATTGGGCCCATTTGAAAGATCCAGCTTCCAACATAGTTGGGAAGTGTGATTAGATGTAGTGCGAGGCAACCTTGAAACTTTGGTCCTTTTGAAAATTTCCATCCAATCTTTGCTAACCAAGAATCTTTCAGTCAAAGAAAAAACAGACTCCTTACCATCGAACCAAGTGAAGGCTCCATTAGGAAGGGGAAGATCAATCAATTCTAGCTCTTCAATGATTTTATTCGCATACTTCTGGTCACTCTGTGGCCTGTAGATTTTCATGGATCCATTTGTTATCGTTGAAGTCACCGCCAACACACCAAAAATCAGGGACTAGGCCACCCACATCGTACAACTCTTCCTAGAACATGTCTCTGTTGTGGTGCATAGCTGGACCATAGAACACGTCTATGTTGTCAGCCAACTTAAAGAGAGCAGAGAAAGAGAAAATACCCACTATGGAATCAACTACAACCGTCATGTTCTCATCCTGAAGGATTATAATACTTCCTAATGAACCCCTAGCACTTTAAAAGACCACCCAATAATACAAGAGCTCTAAATGTCTTTAATAAGACTCCTCTCAACCTCTTTACACTTAGATTCTTGGAGAATGACAATATCAGGCTTTGAAGAGATAATAGCTTCTTTCATTAGGCGCCTTTTTTTGGCTTTACCTGGGCCTATAACATTCCAGGAGACAATTTCATAGAATTCGTGTGATCCTATTCGAAGTCTCTGACTTTCTCATAGTTGACTGAGCAATTTAAATTTTTGAGCTCTCGGTTGCCTCTTGTGCTCCTTTTCTCTTGACCTTTGTTTTCAATCTCCATTTGCATTCGTTTCGGCACCATCATTAGCTCTAAATTCGCTTTTCACAAAATATTGTTAACCCTCTTCATCATTAGGTCTTTTGCGATCCACATCTTCGCAAAATCAGCCTCAACCTCCTCCTCGTCTTGAGAGAGAGGCTCACTCGGCTCTTCCTTTGTGTTGGTTGTTTCCTCTTTAGAAGTAGGCAAGCTTGGGTACCAATAGTAGTCTTCACTGTCAGTAAGTTTCCTCCTTTTTCCTTCCATTGTTGAAGCCACATAACCAAAGGCAGATTCTTAACATTTATCCATCCCCCGGAATAACTATTATTTATTGCTTTCTGTGCTTATTATGCATATTACTAGCACACAACTGTTGACTAATAATTATTGCTTTCCATGCTTATTATGCATATTATTTATTTATTTTCATTTTTCTTGTTGAGTGTTCTTTTCTTTGTGTGCATGTTTCTACTCTCTAAATGAAAACAAACTAATGCTGATGAACCATATTTGTTTTAAATTTACTATTTCTATTAAGGTTGCCAGACGTTGGACAAATTAGAAGATAACTCTCGCACTTTAAAAGGTGCACAAGTCATTAGCCAAGACACTGAAGCATTAACACATATTTTGCGACAATTACGAAGATGGACCGAGTTGTCCAAGGACTCTAGCAGGTTACGTGACTTAAATTCTCCATCATTTTACTCTGAATTTTTCATTTGTAAATTCAATATTCAATATTGACCTCTAGAGTAAGAACAATAATATCTCAAATTAGGTCAATTGTTGGGACATACTTTGTTGTAAAGAACTCTCTCAACACTAAATGACTTTTCTTGAATTAAGATACAATTCATTGATTAAAATGGGTATGCTTTTCTAGCTTTCACCGCAATGGGAGAATGAAAAATTTCATCTCGAGGCACAACTTCCAATTTTCAATTTGACACATTCTCTTTGTTCAGAGTATCTTTCAGTTTAGGGTGCATTTTGCAACATTGATAGTGCTCATTTTCCTTGATAGGAAACAAAACATTTCATATAGACAAAAGAGATCCCGATGATAGAGTTCTAATCGGATATAATTTAAGAAATACTGTAGCTATAAGAATCTTTTATAAAGAAGAGCAAGAGGAAACTAAAAAGAATAACCGTAGCTATAAAGACTTTTGATAAAGGAGAGCAAGAGGAGGCTAAAAGAATATGCTTTCCAAATTGTTTAGGAGGGAGAGGAGGTTGAAATTTATTCATGAGCTCTATAAACATCTTCAACATCCATTTGTTTCATTCAACTTAAATTGTTTAAGAGGTAACACGGGTAGCATTCTACCAGTAGAGAGCTTTGGTTTTGTAGTTGAAAGATGGCTTGGAAGTAAAAGGGCAAGGGCACCATTGGTAGAGTTACATAAAAGTCAAATAGTCTGAAGAAAAAAACTCCCACTATGAGTATGTGAATTATATGTGTCTGCATGTTTGATGACTCAATTATTCATACCGTTGTTTCTGTTAGATTGCTATCACCCATCACTAGATGATTTTGCCCTTTCCTATCTCAAGTCGTCTTAGAGGCTTATTTTTCCTTTACTACAAACAATAGCTGAATTGATGAAATATGAGGTATAAGGTTAATTACAAATGTTTTGAATTTTAAGTAAGTTCTATCGAACCAATAATAGGTGTTAACAATTAATAAACCACTGCTCAACCCAAAAGC